CATCTAATGCATATGCCTACACCTTGCAGTTTCTGAAGTGGTACAGCTGACAGAGAGCTTGAAAACATTGCTGGAGATGCCAGGAGTTGTAGCCTTAAATAGCAAACTAAGGTCCCCAAGCTCTTAGCCAACAGATTGGACTGCTTCAGTGAGAACTAAACCTTGACAGTATCCGTCATTTGGGCTACTCGGGTCAATCTGAACAGGCATCTGGAAGGCACAGAATTCCTAAATTGGAAAGGCAGTTGGGGTTTTTTTTCCAACAAGGAAGGGCTGCTTCTGTAACAGAACGAATCTCGAAGCAAGCTACTGCTCTTCTCCCTGCCACTTCTTGCTTTTGTTAGTTGTTCCACTGCATCCCTTTTGTCTTGTTCTGTATGGGGAGGACTCTCAAGGGGACTTGATTGTTTATTGTTCTTCCCCCCTCCTCCCGCTATCAGTAGTCCTTGTCTAATCCATGGCACTGCTGCCAGAGGTTTTTTCCTGCTCCTTCCCACCCCCAACTGCATCCAGTTTCCTTGCAACCTTCAGAATCAGTTATTCCTCGTAGCGGCTCCTTTCACCAGCTAGAACACAGGAGATACTCCTCTGCTTCATAGGAAAAGCTTGACAGAACTGGAGGCTGGTTGGAAACTGTGACCAAGGTACCCTTTTGCCAGATGTGTGATGTCTGTGTCTTTCTGTCTCAGCTCTCACAGATTCATTGTTTGTTTGCTCACTGAATACGGCTGATCTGGTGACTGGGGAGATAGGAGGCAGTCTCTGGAGATATAAGGAAGCCGAGGAAACAGCTCTATCCATTTTGGGAGGAAGTTATTTCAAGGCTGAAACCCCAAAAAATCAGGAAATTGGTAGTGACTAACGATGCTCCATGAAGTCATGCCGGCCACATGACTTGGAGACATCTACGGACAACGACGGCTCTTCCTCTTAGAAACAGAGATGAGCACCAACCTCCAGAATCGGACACGCCTGGACTTAATGTCAGGGGAAAACCTTTACCTTTACTTTAGAGGTTTTATACCTATGATGAAATCATTCTAATCACTTTCAGTTCCTTGGTTTTATAACTATAAGCCAGCTGGTCAAGGGTCTAGGGCTGACAGCTGGGTTAAAGCAATGCCATTCCTTCACTGTGTAAGACTAAGGCATTTTAAGCAGTGGCACAGTAGCCGTGTTACTTCAGGTGTGAGTCGGAGCAAAAGAAAGAAGCAACCCAGAAAAGCTACTTTTTGGGACTTTAAAATTCTGGGAGTTGCGCAGAGGGACAAAGACTGTAGTTACACTCGGTCCGACTTACTTAGGTGATCCCTCGTAGTCCGAGGATGATGGTCCTCCAAGGTTCTGGCGGTGGATCCATAGGTGACTGTAGAGCCCTATTCTTGATCTACATCTTCTCCCACAGAGAGGGCATTGGTTTCTAGGTGGAAGGCGGTCCTGGTTGGGGTTGGTTTGACATGCCTTCCTCTTGGCACATTTCTCTCTTTTTCCCTCCATTCGTGCCTCTTCAAATTCTACAGCACTGCTGGTCACAGCTGACCTTCAGCTGGAATGCTCAAGGGCCAGGGCTTCCCAGTTCTCAGTGTTTATGCCAGAGATTTAAGGTTGGCTTTGAGCCCATCTTTAAATCTCTTTTCCGGTCCACCAACATTCCGTTTTCCATTCTTGATTTCGGAGTAGAGCAACTGCTTTGGGAGACGATGGTCAGGCATCCAAACAACATGGCCGGTCCAGCAGCGTTGATGGCGGAGGACCATCGCTTCAATGCTAGTGGTCTTTGCTTCTTGCAGCATGCTGACATTTGTCCGCTTGTCTTTCCAAGAGATTTGCAAGATTTTCTGGAGGCAGCCCTGATGGAATCGTTCCAGGAGTTGCATGTGATGTCTGTAGACTGTCCATGTCTCACAAGCATATAGCAGGGTTGTGAGGACAATAGCTTTATAAACAAGCACCTTGGTATCCCTACGGATGTCCCGGTCCTCAAACACTCTGCTTCATTCAGAAAAATGCTGCACTTGCAGAGCTCAGGCAGTGTTGAATTTCAGTGTCAATGCTGACTTTTGTGGAGAGGTGGCTGCCAAGGTAGTGGAAATGGTCAACATTTTCCAATGTTACACCATTAAAGCTGTATTTCTGGCATTGGAGAGGGATTGGCTGGTGACTGCTGGAAGAGCACTTTGGTTTTCTCGATGTATAACGACAAGCCAAGCTTCTCGTATGCTTCTGTGAAGGTGTTTAGAGTGGCTTGTAGGTCTTCTTCTGAATGCGCACAGACGACTCGGTCTGAGCAAGGATGTCTTGACTCACAGACAGGAAAGGTGACTGGCTTAGCAAAAGTTTGTAGAGAGCTCCCATTTCTGACCAATTAAAATGCCAAGCCAGGAGCCAATCCAGGCATAGAAGTATCTTGTATCAAAAGAAAAGACTGGGAAATAACTCAGATTTTCCCACACAAGGTGAACAGCTGAAAGATCTGTCTCTATAGAATACTAGAATTCAATTCCCACAAAAAGGTTGGGAAGAGCATCAACTAGTTTGTTTCATTGACTCCATTTGTTTGAACTCAAACTGAAATGACTGAATTTCTTCCACAGTGATCCGTGCAAACATCTGTGTCCCTCTACCTCACTGTTGGCTAGTTGGAATGTTAATGAATTTTCCACTTAAGATTCATAATCTGCATGAAGATCTTTCTCTGACACTTAATAACGTGATTATTCATTCCTTCCCATTTTTGGCCCAACAGATTAAAATGATATTCTTTGATGTTGATTCTGGGCTACTTCTTTCCTGTTGTCCTCCTCTCTCAGCTCTGTATATGTCTTAATTTATTAGCAAGGAGAGGAGTTGGACAAAAGAATGAAATTTTCTGAGAATTTCCTTTAGATGTGTGGTTAGTGAGGTCAGCTTGTTGGCTACACCTATTTGGGATATGGGTTCTTTTTATTTATGTTTTCCCATGATGGTTTCACATAGCTATGCTGCTCTTATATGGCTCCTTCCCTTTTCTTCCTCCTTGCCACTTAGATGATGCCAAAAACCAGAAGGATTCTCACATATCTCATCCCCTTCCCACCCCTTATTTGTACATCAGAAAAGCTTAACATCAAAAATCCGCGGAGTTGCTTACTCAGAGACAACAGAAACCTCTCATTTTTAACCACTCTTTCTTCCACATACCTCAGGCTTATCTGGAATGGATTGGTTGGTTTCCAGCCAGGCATGTAGCCGGGGGGAGGGGGCTTGAGGGGCTTCAGCCCCCCCCCCCCCCCCCCCGAAATTCTCATGGTGGTTTGCGAAAAGGCCTTACTGGTGCATTATTTAAACTGTTATGTTTATTCATATCATGATCTGATCACATACTCAATATATCCCATATGCATGGGGGTATTGGGGTAATGATACAAAAGGTTTGCTAGGGTAGACCCTCTTTCACTCAGACTCAGCCCCCCCCCCCCGAAACAAACTCAGCCCCCCCCCCTGAAATGAAATCCTGGCTACGGGCCTGTTTCCAGCTGTTTCACAAGGAGCTTCTGGTGGCACAGTGGGTTAAATCCTTGTGCCTGCAGGACTGAAGAACGACAGGTCGCAGTTTCGAATTTGGGGAGAGCATGGATAAACTCTCTAACAGCTCCAGCTCCCCATGCGGAGACATGAGAGAAGCCTCCCACAAGGATGGTAAAACATCAAAATATCTGGGCGTCCCCTGGGCAACGTCCTTGCAGATGGCCAATTCTCTCACACCAGAAGCGACTTGCAGTTTCTCAATAGCTTCTGGCACAAAAAAGCTGTTGCACAGTTTTTGCTTAAATATAATCAAGGAAATTGTGTTGATTTTTGTGCAGATATTAATATTTTAGCACTGAATTTATTTAGCTTCTCCTCTGAAAGCCTTTGTCATCTAATTGCATTGTAATACTTTCAGGAAATTCCTTTTTTGGATTCCCAACTCTCAGAATCCCCCAAACAGGCTGGCATACTGGATAAGAAATTCAAGGGGTTGTATTAAAAAAATTCCTAAGCCCTGAGAACAAGAACTCTTTAGAATTGCTGCTTATACAGGATGGCTTCTTGCCCTGTCTAATGTTGGTTGGTTTGGTCTTGTGTAATTTGGAATGGGCCTTGTTGTAGGTTATTATGAGATTGAGCATCCTAAAGAGAATAATGTTAACAAGAATGGTGAGTTAATGTGAGTCCCATTCTGCACCACCATATAATCTAGATTATCAAAGCAGATAATCCACATTATCTACTTTGAGCTGGATTATATGAGCCTACACTGCCATATAATCCAGTTCAAAGCAGATAATCAGGATTATATAGGCAGTGTAGAAGGGGGCTCAGTGAGTGAGTGAGTGAGTAAGTGAGTGAGTTACTGATTGACTATAGCTCAGGATCTGATGCCAGATTTTCTGTTTATCTCAAATTAAACCCTAACCCTAACCCTGGCCAAGTCAGATTTCATGAGGTATGGTTGCAGCTGGCGCACAAGTTTGAGTTGTGCAAAGCCTTCCCAGCCACCGCCGACACCTGAGCATCAAGCAACAGCATTGAGTCTAGGAGGACCCCCAAGCTACGGACCTGCGCCTTCAGGGAGAGTATAACCCCATCGAGCACAGGTTGCCACCCAATACCTCGGTCGGCCCCATGACTAACCAGGAGAACCTCTGTCTTGCCTGGATTAAGCTTCAACCTGTAGCCCTCAACCAGCATCACAGCTGCCAGACACTGATTCATAGTCTGGGAAGCTTTCTTGGAATTCGGTAGAAATGAGTGGTAGAGTTGGGCATCATCTGCATAGAGACAGCACCCAACTCCACATCATTTCCTTCTCAATATATAGATCTAAAGGCTGTTGGAAGCAGGATTCATGCCATAAATGTTCCCGATGGTGTCATGTCTAAACGAAAGAGCTTAAACCTGCATGGAACTGATGCTATTTGTCTAGAATGATTTCAGTACAGTAATTATTTCATCTTTTATTCTTGCGCCCTTTACAGCAGATTTCCACCAATCATCTCGAGAGCAGTAAAGAAACATCGGAGGTCATCAGGTCGGAGGTGAAAGGCAAAAAGTCTTCAAGCCATGGCACAAGCCACAAGGCCAAGAAGTCGGGAAGTGGGAAAAGCTCAACGGGTTTTGTATCATCATTGTCTTCCAGTGGGACATTTCCACCTGCAGGTAAATAATGGCAAAATCAGTGGCGTCAGACTAACAGTGAGCAATTGAGGGCCATTCCTTTTTTTAGTCTCTGGGTCTGTTTTAGAACATCTAAATCTCTAACTTTCCTGTTTGAAAAACTTTGATTTGTATGAGGCTGCAGTGCATTTCATGGTTCTGCGCCACTTTTGTGGAACTGTTTTGCTTTACCTTGCTTTCACTAGCCATGTACCCCAAATAATTTGGCACAGTAGGTAAGTTTCAGAGAATTTGGGCAATTCCATTGGAAACACCAGATGTTGCTGCGAATGATCAATAGCTATATATAAGACTTCTATAACTTGCATAGTTCATTACTGCCCACTCACTCCCCTTGACTAGCAGAATCAGAGTAAAGAAAGCAAAGTGAGCAAATGTACACAAGTGTGCATAATTTATATAATTCACTTTGTCTTTTGACCCAAAATGTTGCAGTTAAGATTTATTGCCTTTGTAGGTTGACGTTAGGAGCCCCCGGTGGTGCAAAAGGTTACACACTTGTGCCGGCAGGACAGCCGACCAAAAGGTCGGTGATTCGAATCCAGGGAGCAGGGTGAGCTCCCATCTCTTAGCACCAGCTTCTCATATGGGGACATGAGAGAAACCTCCCACAGGATGTTAAAATATCTAGGGGTCCCCTGGGCAACACCCTTGAAGACGGCCAATTCACTGGTGTAACATATGGATTTAGAATGTTAGCTATAGATCAGGAAGCCTGCCCTGTCCTCTGCCTTTTCACTCAACAGCCTTAGGCAGACTATGGTTCTCTCAGCCTCAGCCTTCCATTTGTCAAATGAAATAATAAGTGATTGTGCATATGAGGCAGTCTGATTGAAAAAGAAAAGTATTACCAAAACAATCAAGTGACTGTAGCAATTTAAAAACGAACTAGTGTGCGGTGGCATAAGGTTTTTTGTGGACACGGCCCTTTTCATCACTCTACCACAAAAGGTGATGGTGTAATAAACATGCTAGCCTTTACAGTGTCATAGGATATGTTATTTTTTCTGTAAAAACTGACATAATTATCTCTCTGGAAACTATATAAACGACAAGTATGTATATTTATTATTGTAACAAATCAAACAAAAAGGAAGTAGGTTGCAGTCCATGAAAGCTGATGCCAAATAAAAGGTTGGGTTTTTATGGTGCAAACAAAGTTTTTGGTCTTTCTGCAAGAGATTTTAGGGAGCTATACTCCCTTAGAAAGTTCCTTCTCCTCCTCCTCCTCATTCTCCTCCTCCTCCTCCTCTTCCTCCTCCTCCTCCTCCTTCTCCACCTCTTCCTTCTCCTTCTACTCCTTCTCCTCCTCCATCTCCTTCTCCTCCTCCTCATTTTCCTCCTCCTTCTCCTCCTCCTCTTCCTTCTTCTACTCCTTCTTCTCCTCCTCCTTCTCCTCCTTCTTTTCTTTGTCCTTTTACTTCATACCATCCATGAAGTTTAATGGAAATTTGGGACTGAAGTGAGAAATAATGTGATATAATTAAATGTTTCACAGGTTGGCTCTGACAGCTTTGTCAAACGCCTAATTGATCCAGGCCTTCTAACTTTTAATTTCCAAAATCATAAATGTTTTAATCTATTTTTGTATGTGAGAACCACTGTGATGTGGTGGTCTGAGTGTTGCACTTGGACTCCAGAAAACCAAGATCTGAGTCCCTGTTTGACTATGGTAACCTAATAGGTGATCTGGATCTAGTTACACTCTCTCAGTCTTAGAGGAAGACAGTGCCAAAAATACCTCTGGTCAAATCTTGCCAGGAAAGCCCTAATGAGGTTCCTTTTGGGGTTGCCATAAGTCAGAAATGACTTGAAAGACACACAACAGTAATACATGTCTGTATAAGAAGAGAAAAGGAAAGCAGAGTCTTGTGATGTCTTTAAGACTAATGACTTACTTCAATGTAAAGCTGACTTGTGAGTTGAAATGCATCTGAAGAACTGGGTCATCAAAGTTGATGCTGAAATATATAGTTTGGCCTTAAAGAGACCACAAAACTACTTTTTCTCCCTTCCCTTTCTCAGTGTTTGAGGGTGACCATTCAGCCGCAAAGTTGCTTGTGTCTCTGTGCAAATTCAGGTGTTTCATAAAACATGCAAACAAGCGACTGTAGCAATATCATGCCTGCTAGAGGTTTCAGGATTTCCCTTGATCCCCTTTCAGGTACCTCATGCAGCTCCTTGCCATTCTCCCAGGACTTTGTGACCTTCCCGAAGCTTGAGCAGCAGCAGCCCACATCAGAAGACGAAAAGTACCGCAAACCTGTCTCTTCCTCCTCGTCTTCCGCGCATTGCTCTCCATTATACGAAGGGCAGAAGAGCGACATCTTTGAGCAGAAAGTGATCTTCTCGGGCTTCGGCTCCATCATGCGCTTCTCCACCTCAGCCATCAGCCAGCAGAAAGCCCGTGACGCTTCACCTGTGGACTACAAGGCCTCCAACTCTCTTGGTGGCCCAACTGGGGGGAGTGTTGGCAGTGGCAGCAGCAGTGGGAGTGTTGGCGGTGGCAGCGGCAACAGCCACAAAAGAATGCCGTCCCTCAATGTGGAAGAGGGAGAAGTCCTGAAAGAAAAAAAGCACAAAGCCAACAAGAAGAGCAAGCATGGTCCAGGCAGGCCAAAAGGGAGCAAGAACAAGGAAGTTCTGGGAGCCCAGCTGGTTGGGTCCACGGCTACCTCCTCCTCACCTTTCTCTGCGGGATCCCTGGTCAGCTCCAGCATTGGTGGATCCTCACGGGCTTTCAGCCATGCAGCAGCTCTTCCAAGCCTCAGTCTGGAATCTCCGCTCTTGGGTTCAGGTAAGTAGCATGCCTCTGTGGACAGGATCTTCATATTTGATGTGTCGGATTCCAAAACTAGATGAAGCATATCCACCATCTTCTGGATTTCAACCTTTATTTTATTTCAAGTAAAGGTGGATGTAAACATAACATATTGGCATTTACTATGCATTCTTCATAGATCTCAGAAAAACAAAGTTTTGGCTTTCAGCACCCAGAATCGCTTTGCTTTGTGGATTATGGGAGGCAGGGCCTAAGGTCTAAATCCAATGGTTAATTCCAGCTGCAGTAGGCCAATTCCAGTTACAGCTACAATAGGGATATTTAATAAATTTCCAAATAAGTCTACACTCATGAAAAGTTTGTATTGTCAAAGGCTTTCATAGCTGGAATCACTGGGATGTTGTAGATTTTTTGGGCTGTATGACCATGTTCTAGAAGCATTCTCTCCTGACATTTTGCCTGCATCTGTGGCAAGCATCCTCAGAGGTTGTGAGGTTTGTTGGAAATTAGGAAAATTGGGTTTATATATCTGTGGAAGATCCAGAGTGGGAGTTCTTTCTCTCACCCTGGACCTTCCATAGATACAGGCGAAATGTCAGGAGAGAATGCTTCTAGAAGATGGCCATACAGCCCAAAAAACCTACAACAACCCTTGAAAAGTTTGATTGATTCAGAGGATCTATTCTATTTCAGAGCAGCAACCAGATTTAAGGGTCTGCTTTAAATGTGTGCTTGTAAGCAGAGATCACAAAATATCTGGTATATATCTGTTCAGCAATGGAACTCCCTGCCTCAGAGTGTGGTGGAGGCTCCTTTTTTGGAGGCTTTTAAACCGAGGCTGGATGGCCATCTGTCGGGGGTGCTTTGAGTGTGATTTTCCTGCTTCTTGTCAGGGGGTTGGACTGGATGGCCCATGAGGTCTCTTCCAGCTCTATGATATTTTGTGTGTGCAAGATGCCACAAAATGCAAAGCAGGACATATTTGGTTAGGGAATGTTTATAATACAATAGATCACATCAGACAGGCAATATAATACACAGAAGATTCACCAGCAAGGAACTGTAAAGGCATACAATAATACAGCAATATAAATATTATACAGGACAATGGAAAACTTCCAGCACTTTCTCCAGCTCCTGAACTATTCTATCTCCCTCCATTTCAAGATGCCAGTTCCCTTCCTCGGTAGCTGCTAATTTATTTACTTATTTATTTACAGTATTTATATTCTGCCCTTCTGACCCCACAGGGAACTCAGGGCGGATTACAATGTACATATACATGGCAAACATTGAATGCCATAGACACACAACATATATAGACAGACACACAGAGGCTATTTAACATTCCAGCTTTTTCATGAGGGTATTCTGGCCACTAGGGGAGCTATCGCTTCACCGTCCATTTGTGACACTGATGAAGTACTTCCTCGTTCCTTGCACGCTTGCTGGAGATTTTTATGGCGCCGTAAATTAGCCTCCTGTGTAAGCGGTACCTAAATTTCCTCCTTGACAGATGCAACTGTCTTTTGGGCTGCAAAGGTCGACAGCAAGCTACACAAATTGGTCGGAAGCTCACTCCGACCCGGGCTAGCTTCAGACTCATAACCTTTTGCCCATTAGTGATCTTAATGCAGCTGACTCCCAGCCAAGACAGAATGCATATGTGTATTAGACAGGGCTACTTCCTGTGATAAATGGAGCATGGCAATCATTGTGCGTATCTGTGTGATTTCTGCCTTGCAAGCACAAGTCAGAAAACCACAGTGCATTTCAGCTTTGTAATCTAGATACTCACAGAAGAAATGACATTTTCATTGCCAGTTTCAAAATCCAGGTTGCCCTGAGATGGGATGGCAAGGATTGCAAAGTGGACTTCCTTAGCTTTCTGTGGTTTCCCAAAGTTTGGAAATAAGGAACAAGAGGCCTTCCAAATTATACCAGTATTCTGCATGATTGACTGATTTGAGTAAGGAAAATAGAAGTTGTAAGCTAAAACATATGGGAAGAGGAAGACAAAGATTTTGTGTACATGGCACCGTTTTTTGTCTCTTCCTTCGTCTCACAGAAGTATAAAATTAATACTAAATGTGCCTGGAATGGTAGGAAAGTGCTGCTAGAGATGGGTGTTCCCTTGTGTAATAAGAAATTATTCTGGGGGAAGTCTGATCCTTGAACATATGCTGATTCTTCCCAAGATTCATCCGTTTTCACTCAGCTCTGTTTTCTGAATATTGATGCTGGTTGTTGCCCACATTCCTTCTGGACTCTTGGCTGGCAGGTCTATTATTTATCATGGCTGTCTATTCTTCCCTCCCCAAATTAGTGATATAAGCTGGTTGCTAAACATGCAGTTAGATCTCAGATAAGTGAAACATTGCTTTCAGTAAAGGTGTTAATGTCATAACAGTTTCTCTCTTAGACAGGAGCAGTCTTCGTTCTCTCCATCATGGATAGAGAACCTGTAGATTTTCAGATGCAGGCAAACTGCTATTCCCAATATCCCTCAACATAGGCTAGACTTGCAAGGGCTCATGAGTATAGTAGTCCCAACATTGTGGAATTCCAATTTCCCCTCTTTTGTGTAGTTCCTGGAAAGAAGATTTGGAAAGGACATGAGATGGTGATAGTCCAAAATTGCAAGTTCTTGAAACATAATCAATGTCCCTCCTTCTCTTAGCTTGACGAAGTTATATTTTCTTCTTACTTGATAGGGCAGTTTAGGGGGAAGAGTTGGTGTTCATTCGTTCAGTCGTCTCCGACTCTTCGTGACCTCATGGACCAGCCTACGCCAGAGCTCCCTGTCGGCCGTTACCACCCCCAGCTCCCTCAAGGTCAGTCCAGTCACTTCAAGGATGCCATCCATCCATCTTGCCCTTGGTCGGCCCCTCTTCCTTTTGCCTTCCACTTTCCCCAGCATAGAGTTGGTAGACAGTAAGATATACTTGAAGATGCCCAGATATACACTTAAATGTTCCAAAACCGCAGAATCTGGACCCCAAGATCACTTCGATGCAGAGGTTCATTCCTTATCCCAAATGGCAATGGTGGTAGCAGCTTTCATGTTGGTCCAGTTTCAGTCCAAATATTAGGAAAGCTATCCAAAGTGCTAGATCGCAGAGATGACCACCATGGGCCCCTTCTACACTGCCATTTAAAATCCAGATTTTCCGCTTTGAACTGGATTATAAAGCAGCGTAGACTCGTATAATCCAGTTCAAAGCAGATTATGTGGATTGTCTGCTTTGATAATCTGGATTATATGGCAGTGTAGAAGGGGGGCTTGGATAGCTCCTTTAACGCTCAGACCAAAAAATGGATTCACTACTGACATTTGTTGCAAAATGATAGAAGCCAGCTTCAAATCATTGGTGCAAATTGTTCGGTTTCTAAATTCTGCAAAAAAGATTTTCTTTGCTGGCAACTCAAGTTTGGAACGAGCTATGTGATATAATAAACATACAGTCTGGTTGCTGGGTGATTCTTTTTTAAATTCTGATTTTCGTTGGTAGAGCAATAGACTTTCTATATATTTCAATATCAATGTCAAAAATACGTAGTATGGTTTTATATAGGATTTGTGCTACATTAGAACAGTAAAGACAATATCACTTAAGTGAAATAAACATTAAATATTAAATAACCAGAAAAATAAAATAAGGTGTAAACACTAAACTAATGTGGGAATCTGCTATTGCAACACATCCAATGAAGTGGTTTAAAACCAGTATAAAAAAAGATTAGGTCTAAGTATGTTCCAGTCTACTTGGAATACACGAAGCTCATTCCAGAAGCGTGTTTAAGAACTGGTCCAAGAGTCCAGAAGAGCTTTGACACCCAATGTGACCATAATCCCATTTTCTTTGCTAGTTAACTTGCCGCAGCATGTTTTTTTCTTGTTCTTCCCAAATCTTGTGATCACAGTATCCACCCTGCTCTCACTCCCAAAGCTACACTGGAGAGAAGTTGCCATTGATGGTTTCCTTCCCAAGTTGCAACCTGAATTCTGATACAGGACCTCATTTAAGCAACTTCACCCTCCTCCCTCCCCACAGCTTCACAGGTTGCGGGACTACAATTCTCATCACCCACACACAAAAGCTTGGCTACTAACTAATAATTTCTTGTCTATTCCTGAGGCTCCAAATCTGCTGTCTGGAATAATCACTGCACTTTGCCTCATAGTAGGATTTTCTATATCTGCAGGGTCGGATATATGAGTATACCTTATCCAAAATATTTGGGACCAGAAATGATATAGATTTTGTATATTTTGCAGGAGGGGGGATTTTGGAATACCCATATTTCAATATATATACATAATGAGATATCTTGGAGATAAATCCAGAGACTCAACATGAAATTCATTTATGTTTCATATATATATTATACACATAGCCTTAAGGTAGTTTTATATAATATTTTAAATATTTTTGTGGTGGCGCAATGGGTTAAGCCCATTTCCTGGCAGGACTGGTCAACCGAAAGGTGGGCAGTTCGAATCCGGGAAGCAGGGTAAGCTCTCGTCTGTCAAACTCTAGCTTCTCATGCAGGGACATGAGATAAATCTCCCACCGGATGGCAAAACATCAATCATTTGGGCATCCCCTGGGCAACGTCCTTGCAGACGGCCAATTCTCTCACACTAGGAGCAACCAGCAGTTTCTCAAGTCGCTTCTGACACAGAAATAAATAAATAAATAAATAAATAAATAAATTTGTGCATCAAACAATGTTTGTGTGCATCGAATAATTCGAAAAAAAAGCTGCCACTATCTCAGCCACCCATGTGGACAATTTGAATTCTGGAGTATTTTGGAATTCCACATGCTGAACCCCTACCAGCCTGCATTATTCAATCACTGTTTTCCCAGTAACACATCATAATTTGATGAAATCATAGCACATGACAGAGCTGGGAAAATACACTTTGTTTTTCTGCATAGGGATGATGAGAGTTATAATCCAACAGATCTGGAATTATTTTATTTTGGGAGGTAAGGTTGGTAAAGGTT